GAAATACATAATGAAAAATTAATATACAAACGGATTAGGTGGTTTCTTTTCCTGGACAATGTATGGAGCAATTCAAACATTGCCTTTTCTTTTGTGGTCTCTCCTATATAATTAATAAAGTAAATAAAGCAACGTTAGTATTTTTAAAAATATAATTTGTTTATTATATACAGTATACCTCTTCATTTGTACTGGAAGCTGAAGCTTGGTCATATTGGTATTCCAAGGGTATGTTCAAAGTGAACGGAGGTGTTGGAGGTGATGATGACGATCGTGAAAGAGGAGATATCGGTGATCGAGGAGTTGAAGGTAATGATGACGTTCGTGAAGCCTATAGATGTTATTATAAGTATACATATGTAGAATCTGTAAACTAATATTTAGTTATACTTACAGGTTTATTTCTTTGGCGTTTTCTTGTCTGAGAACCTACATAATAATTAACCCGTTCTTTGTTTCGGGGATTAGATTTACGGGTCAAGATAGGTGCTGTTATTTTTCTATTATTTTGTTCATCCTCTTCCAGATCCGAAGGTGCACTATGAAGCTGAATTAGAGAATTATCAGTTTCCAAATTTCTTGTCATAGGGGATACGAAACGCCTATCATCAGTTTTCTCTGAATAAGCTCGTCTGTTTTGGAGAATATCAGTTTGTTTTCGTGTTGAGCAGATGTCAGTATTCTCATAATAGCCATCATTTGTATGCTTAATAGAAGGAACATACGTGAATTCTGATGTCGGGGCAATTTCGCTACCATTAATTGTTGAATGATAACTATTCTGTTTAAATGAAGAGACATTATCAACATGATCGAATGTTGGTATACTAGATCCATCTTCCTCATTATCTTGGGAGTCACTCATATCATGAAAATTATCCGCCATATCATACACACTATTCGTTTGGTATTGGGTGGATCTCCGAGAACTAGAACTACCCGTAACAACACCAAAAAATTCGTTGTCTTCATTAGGTCCAGGTCCGCGGATTCCTAAAAAATGATCTTCACCAGGAGTGTCTTCACCAGAACTATCCTCTTTCGAGAATTTTTCGGAATTCTTGAGCTCATCTTTTTTCATTTTTATTTTTTTATTTATTTCGGAAAGCGCATAAAGAATACGTTGTCTTTCTTCCTCATATTCTGAAATATCTTGTTTCTAATTCCAGAAGAACAATCCAAAGCATTAGTAACAATGTAAATTGACTGATAAATAAATGCAAAATAAGCAGATTTACTTACTATCTTATACTCCTTGATAATGTTGTTCCAGTAATCTTCTAAACTTTTCGAGAAACGTGTTCGTTCCAACTTAACCTATTGTAAAAAAGCATTTGTTAGCAATGTGTGATTTTTTTTATTTAGTGGTAAAGGAAGGTGCTTAGCCAATTTCTCCTCCAAAACTAGCAGACCTTTACCAACAACAAAGTTAAGGTGCCCGAGTAGAGTGCTTGGAGTGGTTACCAAGTTAGCCTATCCGGTAATTCTCCTAAGTCAACCGCAGCCGATTAGGAGTTACCTCCCTTTGCAAAATGAAAAAAAACACACCTTATCTTCTAAAACCAAGAAATTTTCGTGATCTACAATCATTCTCGCTTCTTTTATGAAATGAAGAGCCCAAATGTCGTCGAGATTTTCAGAAGACAATGAAGTAACAGAATCAATGGAGGTAAAAATGATCTTGCGGTTTAGTTTAAGAAATCTTTTATACGATATGTTTGATTGATTCCTTAAATAATTTACGAGTGCTAGAAAGTTGAAAATTGGTTAGAAACCAAATTTTTACTCAGATTGCAAAGTTATAAGACTTACCATCGTAACCAATATATGTTTGTCGAATTTCTCCTTCTCCAACGCCTTTTCCGCAATTACCTTGTTCGGACATCTTTTATAATATTATTATTTGAGAATAAAAAGAACAAAAGGTGCCTTTATATACCTGACCTGGTCGCGTTTATGATCACGAATGACGACACGCGCGGGTGTCACTATATGCATTTACTGCGCCTGGACAAGGCACAAACCTCGGTCCACGTGCACAGTGGTATAGAAAAAAAAACGCCTATATTTTTCTGTAGAAGAGATGCCAGACGAATCGGACGATGATGGATAATTAATATGGCGGATATGATGGAGGATATTATTATCGTGATGGAAGATACGAAAGAGAAACCTCACCAATGATGAGTCCTATTATCTCTCCGCTGAGCCAGAGCGACGAAATCAAGCGCTAAAGGCAGGAGAATTATTAAGCGAATCCACATATTCGTATTGACTGGTTATTACTTCGTTTCTTTCTTTTTTCGAATCACGTGGGTGGCTTAGCCGAAAGGTGCAGAGCATATATCATGCTCAGAACGATATCGGAAAAATTCTCTTCTTTTCTTCGTGCGACGTAAGATTTTCCCATATAAGGCACTTTATTCGTATTTTTTCTAACAAAAACCGAACGTTAAATCATTTCTAATTACAATAGGACCAGCATACTCACGATATCGCAGTGTGAAGAAGTGCCGGCGAAAAAAATACTGGAGACGAAGATCTGGACAAGATATTGCGCAATTAAGGTGGGAATACTTATTTCGCTCGGTTGTGGCAGTACATTTGCAAGGAAGCGTCTTCAAAGCTGTAAACTAATACCTAGTTAATATCTTTCATTCCAGGGTTTGGAGGATCTCTTTAGCGGGCATAAATGAAAATGGATTATGGAATAATAATGTTGGGAAGGAGCCGGCGATGTAAAACAGAGGGTTCAAGGGTATTTCAAAAATAATCAACCGTAAGGCACTTCGCATGTATTTTAGTCTGCAGACATTAGTATAGACGTCATGTATCCAGCATCATGTAATTTATTTTTAGCGGTCCCTTTGCTTTAGCGCCTTCGGCTAGGACCAGGCTCAATGTATTGCAAATAAAAAAAAAGTTTAGGATACTAAGTTACCCGAGTAATATCCCTTCGATTGTTTTCAAGACAAATTTGCCTGTAATTTTTGGCTATTTTTCAATACATTTTATCCTAGATATTCCCCAAATCCGGCTAGGGTTCCGGGAATAGGCAAGAAAGTTAATTAATATACGATCGGCCGAAGGAGGGATAGTCATTTTTTTTTCGTGTGGGGTGATTGGTGTAATTCCTCTGGAATCTACATACTAATTTTTTATTTCTCGAGAGTATGCATATTAATACAGGGTAATTTAGAAAATCTG